TATGATGCTCATGGCCTATGAATATGTTAACTGGAGAAATACCAGCCTGCAGGTGTTCCTGATGACATGTAGGCAGTGGTGCTGTTTCAAATTCCTCTCCAGGTTTGTATATCCATGCCAGAGCAAAATGGATCTTCCTCTCTCTGTGGATCATCCCCACAAATCAATAGGACTCTTTTATGACACCCATCTCATCTTGAGATCCTGAGGGTCAGGAAACTGTAAAAGTCTTCCCATCTTAGCACCAACTGCAGATGTAATTAGCATAGATCTGAATTCCTGTTCATGATTATTAATGAAACTAATACAAATCCACCCTTTCATTCTCCATGAGCTGTTCTGCTCCAAAAACTGTGGTAAAAACCAAGAGCAGGATTGCTAGAACCACTCCTGATTTGGAAAAGAGACTCAGACTCCTGTGCTTGCTCGTGTTTTCAGAACCCTCGTGGAGGATGGATGCTCTGTTCCTCTCGTTTTCTTCCATTGCTGTGGGTTGTGGGATGTCCCAGCTCCCCTTGGTGCCTTCGCTGCCTTCCTGGCAGGGAACAGCCCCGAGCTGTCCCTGTCCAAGAGGGACATTGTATTCCTGTCATATTGCTGGGAAAAGGTCAGTGTCTGCCAGGATCACCAGACAGGAAGAGATAGGGAGGAGCAACAGGAAAGTGAGAGAAGGGAGGGGGACAGGGGGTTCATTTTTTTCCCCATCTTCTGTCCTTCCTCTCCAGCAGAGCCCTCCCACACATGATGTGAATCCAGGGTATGGCCAGAGATGCACAATCCTCTTTCCTTGCTCAGGGATGTCACAGGAAGGTGAAACCTGATGAGATTAGATGTGGTCCCTTGCTGGGACTGGCTGACAGCTCCAAAAGACATCTGATGTAACCAAATCCTTGCAGCGTGGGCAGTGGTGAGATAAGAAACATCTCTCACATGTGAGAGGTGCAATTTGCTCCTCAGTTCTCCTTCCCTCCCAGCACACGTTGCTGTGGTGGGCTGATATTGCCAGAGCCCTCACCAGCTTTGTCTCATTCCTTAAGTTTTCTTATTTATGAAGTGCGCCTCCAGGGCTGAAAATTAAAGTTACTACATTACTGCTCATAAAGCTAAATTACTACACTAGTTAGTTCCAAAATTTTACTCTTGATGTGAATTTGTGTTCTTGAGATGGACTTTTCAGATGGTGCCAGGTCTAATAAAATGTTTCTCACGTCTGGGAGAAGCACTATGGCTCTGTCTTTCAGGTTACTCCTTAGTGTCCTTCTATTCCCTGCCCATGGCAGGGGATCAGAACTGGATGATCTATAAGGTCCCTTCCAACCATTCTATGACCCTATGGGTCTATTTTTACTCTCCAGGTTTCTTGGGAAGCCAAGTGAAATGAAGCATGTTAGGACTGATGGGTGTTTGCCTTCCAGGTTAGGTTTGGGACAAGGTGGGAGACTGGGAAGATATCAAGGCTTCTGCCATAAAATATAAATTGGGTTATTAGAAACAAAAGGAAATTTTTATTAAGACAAAACCCTCCATTCTTCAAATCCAGATTTTAATGTGAAATCCCTGTTCCCTTTCTGCTCCATCACGTGACTGGGTTTAGCAGCCCAAACCAAATAACATGTCTGATGTCACCATAAAGATCAAGGCAAGACTAAACCTCCCCAAATACACCTTAGCTGGTGCATGGGGTCAGCGAGGTGCATGTGCAGCCCACAAGGTGAGTGAGCAGAAGAGTTGTGTCCTTCCTCAAGGACAACTTGATGCATTATCCTGCCCAGAGCAGAGCATTATCCTGCCCCATCCCTGAAAGTGTCCAAGGCCAGGTTGAATGAGACTTGGAGCCACCTGGGGTAGAGGAAATCGTCCCTGCCCATGGCAGGGGGTGGCACTGGATGAGCTTTAAGGTTCCTCCCAACCCAAAGCATTCTGTGGCTCTGTGAATTCCTGCAGGGATTGCAGCACTGGGCTGTGCCTGCCCTCCCTGAGGTTTGATGAATCAGGTGTCTGATGCAAGGAGGGACAGCCAGGGAGGGACTGCAGCCCAGGACAGACAGAGGGAGAGCCAAACCTGGCTGCATTCCTTGCCTGCCCCTGACTCCTTAAGGAGGGTGAGTCCTGCTGCTCAGTGAGATTCTCAAGAGCAGGAGCTGGTTCCTTGTACTTCAGTAGAATTCCTGCTCTGGATAACGTGGGAAGAAACTGATACTTAAAAAAGAAATACAAAAATTTGAATATTTAGCAACCACAAATCATTCTTCAAATGTTTTAGTGCACAACAAAGAGTTTTTTGCGGAGATTTACCTATGCCATTCATGAAACTTAGCATGGAATTAACTTTGAGTGGCTGAGGTTGCTGTGATGGAGAGGATGCTTTGGGATAGCTGTGGGAAGGATGGTGTTTGTTGGATCAGCCTGAGTCCTACAGCCTTCTCTGCAAGGGGATCAGGAGTACCAGAACAGGAGCCAAAGTATCCACTGCCCCAAGGCTGGACTGCCCCAGGGAGGACCCCCAGGTCGGGCTCAGTGTGGGGGGAGGATTTCTGTGCTGGAATAGACTAATTAGGCACCACAGGGAAGCATTTCCATCCGCTTAGGAGGCATTGTCCTGACCTTGCTCCTACGCCCACTCCCTCTCTGTCACAGGCCTGAAAGAGCCTGGCTCAGCTCTTTTAGAACTGGAAAATGAGCCCCAGCACCCTCCTTTATGCAAGAGCTGAAAGGTTAATACATGTCACGTCTGTCGGCCAGGACTCTGCAATAGGCAGAGCCCTTTTTACTGAGGGAAAAAAACCCCACCAGCCTGTCACAGCCTGACCTTTCCACCCTCACACTCCAGCCCCACTTTCACACCACAGGGCTGAGAATAAACACATCCTTTTCCAAGCAGGGCTGGATCCTCTCAGCTGCAGCAAAATGTGATTCCTTGCAAACGGTGCAGGTGGCTCTTAGGTAGGGGTTTTCCTGTGGATTGCAGGGATAAGCAAGCATCAAGCTCCTGGAATTAGAAAGGTCAGCAAGGATGTTTCCTGTTGGAGCTGCACAAACCCTGGTGCTCGGATCAGAGGGCAGGGAGCTAAAATTAGAAGTGGCTGCGAGGTTACAGAGGTTGCCCCTTGAGCCTGACAAGGTCATGGGGTCTGTGGCTGAAGGGCATGAGAAAATAAACATCTCCAGGCTTCATATTTTCTAGAAGATCACAGAAAATACCTCTTCTTCTGCCTTTAGCATGAGGTTTGGAATATCAGGAATTCCTCCCTAAATAATCCCTCTCTTTCCCTGGCATGTACAGGACGTGTACACACCTAGCTGACCACACCACACAGAAAAGGTAAGGACTGGAATAATTAGGGAATCCCCAGCTGAGTCACCTCCTAGAAAGGCTGTGTTGGGTGGACACAGCTCAGGAGATGTCTTGTCTTGGGATATAAAGGCTGGGTCATTCACCATTCAGAAGTGCAGAATGAGTGCCTCTCTCTGCTGAGTTTATCCTGCAACTCTGGGAATGCTTTTCACCAAAAGTAGGGCAGCACTGATGGCAGAGATGGCGAGAGATCCCACAGCCCCGGGCAGCCTGTGTTTGTTTCCAGTCTTCTTTAGACACCCTTTCCCAACTCTTTGGCTCAAGGTATCCCAGCTGGAGCAGGGCAAACTGCAGGGACTGTGTGGCCAGTGATGTAATGCATGGTCAGAGTTTAAACCAGTTTTGTGTATTTTTTATCCCACGTCCTAATCACTCCTCCTGCATCCTTGAGGAAGTGCCTCTTGGAGGAGCAGTGGGACTGATGGATTTACCCCCAAGAAAGGAGTGTCACATTTTTGAAGCAAAACACTGCACCTCCCAAACACCTGGAGCTTGATGTGTGCATGGATTTGAGTGCTCCCATCCCATCCAGTCCAGGAGGAACACTGATTCCTGCACTTTGCCAAGGAGCCATCAAGCCCTGCAGTGCAAGTTCTCCACCTTCCAATTAAAAAAAGAGGGAGTTTGCAGGGCACATCCACAAAGATCTTGGAAACTATCCCTGCCCTCCAGAGCAAAACCTACTGGAGGAGCCTGAGGTCCAGAAATAACCACAAACCACCCTTTCCTGTCAGGCAGCTGGGATTTCAAGTGGTTGGAGCTAAATATGGCACTATGTCAACAAGGAGCCACCAGGAAAGGGGGATTATTGCTCTCCATTAGTGAGAGGAGTCTGCTCACACACGTCTGCAAAGACCTCAGCTTTGGAAAGCACATTTCCTTCATTTCCGTGGTTTGCACTTGAATTTTCACCACGCTCCTCCTCATCTTTCACTGGATATTTCCCATTTCAAAACCAAGCAGGCAAACAAAACCAAGGCACATCAAGAAGTAATTTGTCTGGCTGGTAAAGAAACAAAAACAACCAGCCCAAGGCCAGGCAGAGGATCACAGGAAAACACGAAGTATGGCTGTGCAAGTCTCACGTCGCCTCTGCTCCCTCCTCCTCCTCCTCAGGCCTGCTGAAAGACAGCAGCTGTAATCCCTTCCAGGTGGTGACAGGAGCGATCTTCCCAGCCCCTCTGAACGTGACAGGCCTGGAGCTGGCTGGGAACACGTGTTCCTGTGCTGTCAGAGGGAGAGGGGAAGCTGCAAGACCCAACAGGCGCCTGAGTCACAGCAGCCAGGGGGAAATGCAAACCTTGGAAGCCGTGCGAGCACGAGGGATGTGGCTGTGAGGGATCCTTTCCAGCTGGTTGCTTCCTTCACAGATGCTCTGGGCCATCCTGGGTGAGACTAGTGGAGGAAGGAGACACCTCCTTCAGCAACATCTGTCTCTGGATCCCCTCTGGCTGCTCCCCAGCCCCTCTGAGTGGGGATTTTGGTGAGCAGAGCTCACTCTGCCCTGGCTGTGTCTGGCATATGTGTGAGTCACTGCCCAGCCATGGTGACAAACACAGGTACGAGTGGGACAGGTCGCCTGGGGAGGAACTTCGGTGATTTCAGTTTTCATGGTTTGACAGCTGCATTTTTGTGTTCCTTTTAGTTTCTTTCTCCTTGCCCGTGCTGCAGGTGAGGAACTGGCTGATTCAACACGAGTAGGGCGTGGCGCTGACTGTGTAAGCAGCTTTAAAGTGATCAAAGTCAGCAGCTGCAGGAGAAATCCTGGGAAATGTTTGCCCTTTCCCTAACCTGTTAAGTTCCAACAGTGGCTTTTTCTGTGCAATAGCACAGAAAGGGAATAATAGAATCCCAGAATGGTTTGGATTGGAAGGGATGTTAAAGATCACCCACTTCCACTCCCTGCCATGGGCAGAGATGCCTTCCACTGTCCCAGGTTGATCCAAGCCCCATCCAGCCTGGCCTTGGACACTGCCAGGGATCCAGGGGCAGCCACAGCTTCTCTGGACAACCTGTGTCAGGCCCTCCCCAGCCTCACAGGGAAAATTTTTTCCCTAATGTCCTACCTGAACTTTTTCAGTTTGAAGTCGTTCCTTTTGTGATCTTGGAGCAAAAAAGCTTTTAAAACTTCCACGGGATGACTGACTTGAGCTGCTGCCTGACAGCCTGAAAGTCATCAACATAGGATGGTTTAGAGTAGCTACAGTGAGATCAGCTCTTCCCATATGGGACATTTTGGAAGGGGCTGCCCAGGGAAGTGGTGGGGTCCCCACTCCTGGAGGTGTCCAGGGAATGACTGGAAGTGGCACTCAGTGTTCTGGTCTGGGTGACAAGGTGGGGGTCAGTCACAGGTTGGACTTGATTGTCTTGGAGGTCTTTTAGAATCTAATAATTCTGTAATTTTCATCTGAGGAAGTTGTCTAGGCTCCCTATGCCCTCTGCAGGTAGAAATGTGCCTGCTGGCAGTGTGGTCCCCCTCCTCCTTAGGGGGCTGCAGATGAATCACAGTCTCTGCCCCTCTCTCCCTGCTGGTTATGGTGCGAGGATGGCTCACAGGGAGACATTTCACCAGGAATGTTTAGAGTTCACTCAACATGTACCACTTCCAGTCTATTCCTCCTGTCAGGATCAGAGCTGTGACTACCAGGCTCAGTTCTTTTTGGAATCCTGCATGGACTGATGTGTCACAAAGCTGATTATGTGACTGAAAGGGTTCTATACATGATGTAGAACCTGGGGACACGGTTTTTGGGGTTTGGCAGTGCTGGGTTAACAGTTGGACTTGATGTTCTTTATGTATGAAAATTGGAAGAGGGGAGATTTAGGTTGGATATTGGGAAGAAATCCTTCCCAGTGAGGGTGGTGAGGCCCTGGCACAGGGTGCCCAGAGAACCTGTGGCTGCCCCTGCATCCCTGGAAGTGTCCAAGGTTGGACAGGGCTTGGAGCAGCCTGGGATAATGGAAGATGTCCCAGCCCATGGCAGGGGGCTGGAACAAAATGATGTTCCAGATCCTTCCAAGCCAAACCATTCTGTGATTCCATGAGGCTCACAGATAAGGTTGTCCTTCTTTTGAGAAAGGTTATTTTAACTTTTCTATCTAGAGGATGGTGCTGTTGTCCCTGGATGATCTCCCAGGAGGCACTGTCAGCCTTGTGGGAGCAGCTCCGCTGAGATCCAGCTCTCCACTGACTTCTCCCAAACTCCCCTGTTCCTCAGAGACCCAAAATTAGGTGATTGCTTCTAGAGCTGAAGCAGAGTTCTTCATTTGAGTGAAATGAATCTTATCTCTGGCTGTAAGTTTAAGAAATGGATTCTAGAAATGAAAACCACAGGAATTATTTAATTTGGAATACTGATTATTTAAGCATGCTTGCATACATCTTCACAAACCCAACACAACACTACACACATACTTTTTCTCCATACAATTTAAGGCATTTGTTTTCAACCCCTTTCTTTTATTCTCCCTACAAATTTTTGATAAAATGAATGGTGTCCCTAAGAGGTTTACACAAGTATGCAGCTGAGGTATGGTCAAACTTCTCCTGGCATTAATTGGGCATTTATTCAGAAATGTTTGTATTTCCCCAGAGGAAGAGGAAAAAAAATAGTTACAATCTGGTAAAAAACATTTGCTAAATGAAGTTTGCAGTTCTATTGTGGTTTGTAAATCCAAGCTCTCCATTTAATGCTTCAGCCTCTTCCAGCTGTTTGCTGCAGCACAAATGCTCAAAGCTTTTCCATGTTAAAGGGAAAATTAGTTTAGATTTTGTCTTCAAGGATGGGGCACTAAGACATTGCAAATCCCGTTAGCCCCAGAACAGGGCCTCGTGCAAAATTGTCTGAGGGATCCCAGCTGGTTGTAAAGTGCTTCAATACCATCATTGGCATAGAAAAGGACACCACAAGGGATTGGGCCTATCCCTAATTTGGTCAATATTGAGTTCAACCACTTCTCAGAGACCTGACTGGGTGAATTAACTAATCTTTTTTATCTACCACTACAGTGATGAGCACAGCGCAAAGACATGGGATCTGGAAGAGGATATACTGGAAGGACCTTTCTCCATGTTGAGGCTTCCGGTGAAATGAGGAATGAACTCAACATCTACTAAAGGAAAAAAAAAAGAAAAAAAAAAGAAAAAATGGGGAAAATCTTTGATATCTTAGAGACCTTTCTCCATGTTGAGGCTTCCAGTGAAATGAGGAATGAACTCGACATCTACTAAAGGAATGAAAAAGAAAAAAAAAGAAAAAATGGGGAAAATCTTTGATATCTTAGACCCTTTTTTCTGGGCACAGAGGAGGTGGGGTAGGTGAGGGCAAGATAAATATACAGGGTATAGGGAAGGTAGGGTAGGGAAGAATATGAATGTACATCTCTGTGGGCTCTGACCAGACTTTGGCAATGAATCCTGATTTTGTCATGTTTCTGTGGATTGGCAATCTCTCCAGGAAAATGGCGTGCAGCAGGTGAAAGGCATCCCAAAGTCACACAGAGACGATGCCCAGCAGAGCCACAGATCACTCCAGCAGCAAACAGCATGGCTTAAAGGGTGGGAGCTATAAGGTATCCCAAACAAAACAGCCTGCCCTTTCCCCAAACCACTTATCTATTGAGACCACAGCATATTAATGAGCTACTAGCCCTCTAGAAATGAGGGCAGGTAATTGCAACATTACTCACAGGATTCAAGATTGAGTTTACCACATTTAGCTCAGAAGAAAAGCCGATTACGAGGGCTCAACTCACTGGAGATACTGAAATATGTAATGAAAATATACTTTAAAAAAAGAAATAAAGGAAGAAAGAAAGAAAAAGTCAGTTTTTAGTCAGCAGTTCTAGAAGTCCAGGTCATCCTGGTCAATCTCATCAGAGTTTTCTTTCTTTTTAGTAGCCTGAACTTCCTCAGTGTTTTCATCCTCCTTTGGATCTGCACCTTCAGCATCTGGTTGCTCCTCATCTCCCACGGGATCAGAACCTGAAGATTCTTTGTCCTCTTCTTCTTCCTCACTGTCAGGATACATCTGAGAGGGTTTGGAGCTCTCATCACTTCGAACCTCTCCATTTGGGTGGTCGCTAGTGGGGTTATCATCACCTTTGCATTCCCCTTCAACTGCTTCCTCTTCAACAGTTCCTTCCTCTTCAACTATTCCTTCCTCTTCAACTACTCCTTCCTCTTCATCTACTCTTTCCTCTTCATCATCAGACCCCTTCTGGGATTGCTGTGAGAAGTTTCCGACAGAAGAATAACAAGAAAAGGCTGTGGATTTTTTCAGAGTCTCTAACCTTTTGTTGGTTCTCTTGCCTTTGGCCTTTGAGGCTTTCTCAGAAACTTTGTTGTTGCCTTGGCCTTCATGTTTTTCATGTGCATTGTCAGGGTCATCACCGGTGGGTTCCTCACCATTCTCATCAGGATTCTCACCTCTTTCACTACTTTTCTCCTCAGCCTCATTGCCTGACTCTGGTTTTGCATCTTCTTCTGCCTCAGCTTCATCTTGCTCAGCTTCTTCATTTCCTTCCACAGCATCTCCTTCAGGATTGTTGTCAGTTCCAGAGCCCTCAGCATCTCCTTTGCATTCTGACGTCTCTGCCTCATCATCAGCCACAACTTCTTCATCCTCTGGCTCCTCTGTTTCTTCAGCTTCATTTTCACCTGCATCTTCACCTTCAGATTTTTCTTCAGCTTCTTGCTCTTCATTTTGAACTTCTTCTTGTTGTTCTTTCTCTCCCTCTTTTTCTTCTTCCTCCTCCTTCTCCTTCTTTGTTTCTTCCTCCTCTTTTTCTTCCTCCTCCTCTTTTGGGTTTTCTTCTTCTTCCACTTCCGGCTCCTCTTTTATTTGACCATCATCTTCCTTTTCCTCCTCATCTTCTTTTGTTCCTTCTTCCTCTTCCTCCTTCCCTTCCTCCTCTTTTGTTTCTTCTTCCTCTTTTTGCTCTTCTTCCTCTTCTGCTTCCTCCTCTTTCACATCTTCCTCCTCTTTCACGTCTTCCTCCTTTCCTTCCTCTTCCTCTTCTTTTGCTTCTTCCTCTCCCTCCTTTACTTCTTCCTCCTCCTCTTTGGCTTCTTCCTCTTCCTCCTTCCCTTCCTCCTCCTCTTCTTTTGCTTCTTCCTCCTCCTCCTTTCCTTCCTCCTCCTCTTCTTTTGCTTCTTCCTCATCTCTCTTTTGCTTCTTCCTCTTCCTTTTTGGCTTCTTCATCTTCCTCCTTCCCTTCCTCTTCCTCCTCTTTTCCTTCTTCCTCCTCCTCTTTGACTTTTTCCTCTTCTTTTTCTTCTTCCTCTTCTACTTCTTCTTCCTCCTCTTTTGTTTCTTCCTCCTTCTCTTCCTCTTCCTCCTCTCTTCCTTCCTCCTCCTCCTCTTTTGCTTCTTCCTCTTCCTCTTTGGCTTCTTCCTCTTCCTCTTTGGCTTCTTCCTCTTCCTCTTTGGCTTCTTCCTCTTCCTCTTTGGCTTCTTCCTCTTCCTCTTTGGCTTCTTCCTCTTCCTCTTTGGCTTCTTCCTCTTCCTCTTTTGCTTCTTCCTCTTCCTTTTTGGCTTCTTCATCTTCCTCCTTCCCTTCCTCTTCCTCCTCTTTTCCTTCCTCCTCCTCCTCTTTTTCTTCTTCCTCATCCTCCTTCCCTTCCTCATCCTCCTCTTTTGCTTCCTCTTCCTCCTCCTCTTTGGCTGCCTTCTCTTCCTCCTTCCCTTCTTCTTCCTCTT